TGACCAGTCAGGACAAGGCAAAAGAATCACGTGGAATGTGCTGGATATTTTAATTTCGAGTCTGAAAAAGAATATATGTCAGACTTCCCACCTATTGTTTTAAATGATATATCTACCACTGGTGTATTGTTCAGAACATTACTATGATTTGATATGGAGTTATATGGTACGAGAGGTTGGTTTTATTTCTCCTACTGTTAAAAGGAATTTATGTAATTAGTATGTCTCTTATAAAACTTGATATACCAGATTAACAAAAGAAAAAAAGAGAGATTAGAAATTCCGGAGCCAGTCTGATATGTCTGTCGGTTGTGAATTCTGACAGAAAAGTAACAATCTCCACCATTTCAGTCCATGATAAACATGTATATTGAGATAAAAAAAAATAAGAACTTTTTACTGTTTGGCTGATTAAACAGGGAATTTCCCAGGAAAATTCCTCTCCTTTCATATCAGCGGAATTCGACGAAATGTGTCGCAGTTGTGATACAGGCAATCTCATTAAAATATAAGTCTTTATCTACAACTCCAACGCTTTCCGTTCATTCAGGAAAAGTATTGGAGTGGTAAACTAAGATATGTATTTTAATCAGATTATGATACAGGGATCATCACACAAAATTCCATCTATCTAAGTGTCGCTTTCCTACTCGTGTTACCAGCTAACATTAATTTGGAATACAGAGACCCTTATATGTAAGGATGATTATATTATACTTGTAATTACCCAAACAGTCACCGTGAGGATGTTTTAGATATAGTTGTTTAATTGAAACAGTCAACTATATTATATATATATGAATTTTCTGTGGTCACCGATAGCCGGCGTCTCAAAAACAGTGGGTGAAAAACTTATATAAGTTAAAAGACTGGAAAACACGACAAGTTTAAAAACTTAAGTGCTTTCATTTCGACTTCAGATGATTTACCTATACCTAAGTGTTTTCCAGTCCTTTAATATTTTTCTATATTTGCTGGGCACGGATTATTCACCACAATCTATATATATATATATATATATGGTCCAACATTTCGTACAATGATAACTTGGACTGACCAAAATTTACATAGGGATTGTCGTCAATGATGGGCAAAAGACGCTCCCAGAAAAATTGGTCGTATTCTCCTTGTACTACTTCAGTAGTGCCCGTGTAAATCTTCATCTTTTGGTCATCAGACTGTCAAAGAAAACTTAAATATTCTGATGGGAATTTTCTGTGGCTACCATTGGCAGGTGTTGCTGAAACTTTGAAAACTTGACATCATTTTATGCAATGATAACCACATGCATTTCCACAAAAACTGAGAAAAGGATATTTGGTTTTATTTTGGGAGACTAAATCACTCCCTTCCTCCCTTCGCTTATCAGCACAATTCGACGAAATATGTCTCGGTTTTAATACAGGGATTATCTGTAAATGTAAGTACTGTTTGCCTGATTATATTACCAGTTAACATGGTAACATATGAAACTGGTTGGAGGTGGCTTGTATTATCATTAACTTCCTCTTTCCTTGCAGCGGAAACTTCAAGTGGATTCAGTTAATACTGCTTCTCGTGACCTTTAAAAAGTGGCTCGGGAACTTTAGTCATATATTGATTAATGCGGCATAAATTACGCTTTTCAAACATGTCCGTAATATGTTCACTATCCTCCATCAACTGACAAATTTATGAAAGTTGAGTCTGCAAGTAAGTGAGTGAATGTTTCTAACATCAACAATGTTTTACACCACAAGTTTTTTCAGTCTAACATCCCACTAGAAATATCCCTGTTATTTCCTAACGTTACCTCAAGTCCATGACATCCAAACTGTTTAACTACAAACAAACGCTGCACCAACTCGTGTAGACAGCCTAAATCTACCCCACCGCCAGCTGGCTCTAGTCCTATTCCTACTTATAACTTAAAACTATAGCCCATAGAAACTCGCGATTTAAGCATAACCAGAATTTTAAACTGTGGGAGCTTTTCATGAAGGTTCTAGGTATTGTAAAATCGCGTCCATCAACTGGAAATGGATTTCAACATAATCATACATATGAATTAAAACAAAATATAACTAAGTATAACAAAATATAACTAAGTATAACTAAGTATAACTAAGTATAACAAAATATAACTAAGTATAACTAAGTATAACAAAATATAACTAATTATAACAAAATATAACTAAGTATAACAAAATATAACTAATTATAACAAAATAGAACTAAGTATAACAAAATATAACTAAGTATAACTAAGTATAACAAAATATAACTAAGTATAACAAAATATAACTAAGTATAACTAAGTATAACAAAATATAACTAATTATAACAAAATATAACTAAGTTTAACAAATTATAATAAGTTTAACAAATCATAACAAAATATAACAAAATATAAGTATAAAACAAAATATTACTAAGTATAAGTAAGTATAACAAAATATAACTAATTATAACAAAATATAACTAAGTATAACTAAGTATAACAAAATATAACTAATTATAACAAAATATAACTAAGTATAACTAAGTATAACAAAATATAACTAATTATAACAAAATATAACTAATAACAAATTATAACTAAGTTTAACAAATTATAACTAAGTATAACTAAGTATAACAAAATATAAGTAAGTAAAACAAAATATTACTAAGTATAAGTAAGTATAACAAAATATAACTAAGTATAACTAAGTATAACAAAATATAACTAAGTGTAACAAAATATAACTAAGTTTAACAAATTATAACTAAGTATAACTAAGTATAACAAAACATAACTAAGTTTAACAAATTATAACTAAGTATAACAAAATATAACTAAGTTTAACAAATTATAACTAAGTATAACAAAACATAACTAAGTTTAACAAATTATAACTAAGTATAACAAAATATAACTAAGTATAACAAAATATAACCATGTATAACAAAATATAACTAAGTATAACAAATTATAACTAAGTATAACTAAGTATAACAAAATATAACTAAGTATAACAAATTATAACTAAGTATAACTAAGTATAACAAAATATAACTAAGTTTAACTAAGTAAAACAAAAAAGAACCATGTATAACAAAATATAACTATGTATAACAAAATATAACTAAGTATAACAAATTATAACTAAGTATAACTAAGTATAACAAAATATAACTAAGTATAACAAATTATAACTAAGTATAACTAAGTATAACAAAATATAACTAAGTTTAACTAAGTAAAACAAAAAAGAACCATGTATAACAAAATATAACTATGTATAACAAAATATAACTAAGTATAACAAAGTGTATTACTAATGTCTTCGATGAATTAGAAGACCTTCCAGAACACCTGGTCTTGTACATCTAGCGTCATCGGATTTGCGTTTGAATTACACTGTTAACAGTATTTTATTGAATCTCTCTTGATATATTTAAGATGTTTATCACTCAATATTATCTTTTTAGATTCCAGTGAGAGAAACAAATTTTAATAGTTACTGAGAATTTGATGAGCTTACCAAATGGTTTAGGAATGGGATCCCACATAAAGGAAATGTGAAATCGTCCAGATATCACTGACAGGTCTATAAATCGTCAAATGTTGTCGTAACTGATTTAGGAGGTCATTTGAAATTGTAGTTGTTTTCATAACATGAAAAATTAATTCAATGCATTAAAACGGCGTTCGTGCAGTTGTGTTATTAGGGTATCGAAACAGACTGATGTGTACAGTTATCAATGAAACTATTTTTTAAAAGTCGGCGTTAGTGATATCTGCAATAGGAAATTAAAAACTGTTTATTGTTTTCAAGGTTAGAAGACGGTAACAAAGCAGAGACAAATCAACATATATAAGAATTCTTAAAGGTATTATAAGTCCACCATGAAGAAGATAGTTTAAAACAAACCGACATAGTAGTGTATTTACAAAGACAAACAAAATGTCAGTGACACGATAAAGGTTTCCTAATAGTGCTTACTTTATGTTTAAAGGCCAGGAAAGTTTGGTTAACTGTCTATTGATTGTAACCATATGTTTTTTACAGCAGATGATACAATAGAGGTTATTTACAACGCACACTGACATTTTTACACACAAACACACACGCACAAAACATTATTTAGGTTACAAAAACTTTCGGGAGTCCCTTCAGCCCTTCAAATCCCTGTGTTAGGACGAGTGTTATACCCTGAATATGACGTAATCGCATACATATTCGCTGATAAGGAGTTGTTGGTATAACACGTGTGTGGCCTAGTGTTTGTGCCCTGTTTATTCTGTACAAGTGTTAACAACCTTCTGGACGAGGAACGCGTGTGTGGAATTATGTGTGAGGCACGTACACATTTACTGTCACATTTTGACCAGAGGTCATTGAGTGGAGACCTGCCTACCCGATAAAAAAGCAACGTCCCGTCACACATTACAGTGGTAGTGTGAACGGTGACATGTTATCAGCGCACAGTTGGCCGTGTATTTAAATACGGGACACTCACTCAGTCCTTTATGTTTCTTAGTAGTGACTTCATATCTGATGTCGATGTGATTTATGACGTAAAGTGTATAACTTTGCAGATGACCAAAAGTCTAGGTCTGTCAAAGGTTTAACACCATCCAAGGAATCTCTACAAGGATATCAATGTGTGTAGCAAGGATATACTGACACTGATTTTTGGAGGTTGATGTCAGATACTATCCCAACTTTAACAGACGACAATTTAAATTAGACGTTGAAATCGATAATTCCAGCAGCATTGAAGTTATTAAGAAATATCTAAAGGTCTTAACGACAATTTGCACAGCGTGTATGCACGGCAATCAATTACATACTGCTGAAACCACAAAACGCTATTTGGTTTCAAATTGAAACGCGACAGAATAATCTCAGTTGGCAATCCGTATTTGAACTGCATATAATGAGATTACCATCCATCTGAATGAACACTCTTACATCCTCCTCTTTATAACTGCTTGTATTGGACCAGAATATCTTCACAGTGCCACGGGGATGATGACAAGTGTTTCGTTATATCGGGTGGTTGTTACGACCGCTGTGATACTTTCCTTAGGGAGTACATCTACAGCGAAAAAATCAAAACCACACATCATCTTCATCGTAGCTGACGATCTAGGTAAGTAACACAATAATCAAAATAACTTTACAAAAACCGTGATAATATTTAAAACAGTCTTATATAACTATTTGAATATTGTTTTTATCATTATCAATGTCTTAGGTTCTTTTCACCACCAATTCATTTTTCTGAAGATTTATCAACAGATGACACTTCTCTATCCACAAAATCTAGTTTCCTTGAAAGTTCTTGTTCTGAAAAACCAGGAATTGTACAGTAAACGTGTGGAACATAAAAAGCTGACATTTCTTTCTTCGTTGAATCTTCCCTATCACATGGGATGGTTCACACTCGAATTATTCTGTGAGTTTTAATGACACGGCAACTTCCTCGGAATACTTGTTCAGATACCTGTGACAGGAATGGTTGTTTACCTACTATACATGGGATTGGTTTCAATGATGTTTCATCACTCTGTATGTAGGAATTTGTCATTTTTTTAACGGAAGGTATTATCTGATACGCATAGTTTTCAATTATATACGAGGACGAGATTACATTTCAACTACATATTACTCAGAACTAGCACACTATCACGCTATAAAGCTTTGTACTCTGTTTGCTTCTTCATGGTGATGGGTATGGTTACTGTGTATGTATCTATGTTAATAGGGCGATTTAACTTATCATTTGATTACACTTCTTATCATGTTAGTTCTGTCAAAAACACAAAAATCATTTCATTGGCGAGGCAATAAAAAGAGGAAAATGTGTCTCATTTGATTGACACAGTGGAAGTCAGCAAAGTTCTTGTGGTCATACACGGATGTCCTTTGCATCTTGTGGTCATACACGGATGTCCTTTGCATCTTGTGGTCATACACGGATGTCCTTTGCAGTCATCTATTTAACTTCTGTTTCATACTAATAAGTCTGTGTTTATACATATTAATACAGACAGAGGTCGTGCATCAATATTGCTCATTTTAGTATACAGACTATAGGGTAACGAGTACATCACAAGCTCATTTTAAACATCTTCATCGAAAGTCTGGTTGTTAAATTACGCTGACAAGAACCGTTGAACAAAGAACATGACAAAATATGTTGTTGTAACCCGTGCTTAAAGCGCCCCTCCGCCTTACCACTAGATAGATATTATCTCATCCAGACCTGAGAGAGAGAGAGAGAGGGAGGGAGGGTAAAACCAGATTTCATCACATCTCATTTAACTGTCAAGAAAATTGCATGTCGCTTTTTGTAGACCGTTGCATCAAAGGCCCTATTGTGTATATGTTTTATGAATGAAGTTTGATACTGTACTCTCTCATCGTGTGGTTCACTGGTATTATATACTACAAACACGTATGTGTGCATGCACTTCACTTTGGTACAAATTACTTTATACACACGACAGTATTACAACTTATACCTTAGTCATGGCGTCAGAGGCCAAGGGATTAAGAAATGAAATAAGTATTTTACGTGTTGGTCGTTATGATTTACTATCGGAAACTGCGGGCGATGTTTGAAGTCTTTAGAGTCATTATCTATATAATAGGAATTTTTCTTATACATCATGGTAACTGTTAGTCAAAACAATTCCAACATCACCCTGAATGTTTGCCGAGGTATAAAGATATCCTGAAAAGTCCCTGTAGTGTTCGTAATAAGTAGGCTTTCCAACATGGTCCCGATTGGATTCTTCATATAGTTTAGATTTTCCTTATGTCCCCTTGTGTCTTGTCCTGAAAACTTAAGCTGGCTTAGGCTGTTCAAGTTCAGTCATATACTTTGACATGGTCAATATCCTTAACATTATTTAGAGGAGTCGGAAAAGGACGCTACAATAGAATAGACATTTTATATTTTTCTTTAAAGCAAAACAGTGTACATTTAAAATTTGCTTGAATTTAGAAAGGTAATTGATTTCATTGTCAAAAGGTCGGCATTGTTGGCAATATATCAGGGTTTAATGTTCCAGATCGTTTTGGTCATGGAAAGAAGGAGAAATGATTTGTAGAGCTATGTGGAATCTGGATTTTTTTGTGGTCAGGTTTGTTATAAGAAATGAAGGTTACCAACACGTTCAACTAAGTCCTTTGTTTTTATTGTCTCTTGGAGTAGAATGACAGATGCAAGCTCAAGTCGTTTGTCTAGCATCTCTGTCACACTGTAGGTCTCTAGGGTTCTATGGATGAAGCCTTCCTGACCTGGATCCCAAAGGGCTACAATATCCTAGATGAGAACATATCTTCGTAGGCATGTTCTTCATATTACATTGTTAAATGCTTCCCTTATGAACTCGAGTGATACATTGGTTTTTTAGTTGCATTGATGGTATGGAAATTCCATGTCTTTTTTTTCAATTATCGTAAAGTCTTACTAGTTTATTTTGAATCAAATACATTCGAGCTTGTGGTAATGTGGATAATTTTACATTTGTTAAGATTGAATGACATTAATCATATCTACTCCAAGATTTCCAGTTTCTTTCTGCCATTCCTGAGGACCAGTGCTTCTACATCAGACTAGAACATACGAGCTTAACATAGTTGTTAAAATCTGGCAGGTCATCTATGCACTTAAACATAGACTGAGCTCGAACACAGAGTCCTGGGGCACGTCTGACGGGACTGGACAGGAAAACAATTCTGTGCAGGCCATTGCATTGATAAGTCTAAAGTGATCGGTTATTCCTCAGATTTCTTCAAAAAGTCCATTACATCAACATCATTTTGATGGTTAGATGCTATATTGCTATATATGTCTGCTGTGAAAACAAGAATATGATTTACACTGTTCTTAAAATAACCTGAGATAGGAAAATTAAGAAACTTGTGTGATTATGGGCTGCCGCACCTCCCCGTCTGGATTTTGACATTTCTTTCAGTCGCTTCAGGTTTTTCTTAGTCGCCTCCTTCCCAGGCTTCAACATTTAGGCTCTCAGCATCACTGACGAGTCCTAAAAGGACAGAACAGCTGTATGGTGCAGTTTAATTCATTGTTTAGCTCTGCTGTATATAACTCTAAATTTGCAAGAGCTATTCACTTGCGTGTCTTATGTACAATCTTGGAAAGTAGGTCATGCTGTAGAGGACTGAGGAGATAGTACTGGTCAGAAGGAGACATGATTTTACTTGTGATTATGTGCTCAAAGAACATACATAGGATGATGGACATTGCTATTATTACTTAGCAATGTTGGACAACCGAGGAAACGTTATGCCACTTTTCAATGGAGAATGAAATTGAAATGACCAACGTTAAAATCAACGCGCCATTGATCAACAGATGCTTGATTATTGAATGGAAAGATTTCTTCTTGTAAAAGTTTTCTTTGAAGATAAACGAGCAATTATGTCATGAATCGGACTAGGTGTTATATATATATTCTCGGAATACAGAATACGCCTGTTATAGCAAAAGTCATACATACACACAAAAGCATGTACATGTACAATAAAACTCAAAATGTCGACAAGCTTTATCTGATTGGCAAACATCATTGTGCATTCAAACATTCGAATCAATATCACATCATTAAGTGATTGTTTTAGTAAATCACTTCAAGTTTAATGATACTAAAGTAGAATTTCTTTATATTACACTTATCTTTTCAAATGTCAGATAGTATAGACAGTATGTATTAATCATAATTCGTAACAGGTTTGTCATATTGCAAACAGAATTTTTAATTTCCACGCGATAAAATCACATTATTGACAAACAAACAACGCAGTCGGTGTTAATACATTACGCACTATATTTATTTAACCAGCTATTTGTATTATCATCCGTGTATTTACTTACACCAATGATAAGGTGACTTATCATAGGTCAGAAGTCAACGATCAGAGGGATGAAGGATGGTCGTATCGTTTATGATGGCTTTCCAGTCATACGATATCATTGATAACCCATTTCACTATCCTTGAATCGCCATAACGAGGTCAATTACTGTCAAGTGTGATGACATACCGTGCTGTTGATTTTATAAATAATATATAAAAAGAGATTAGTCATAGATTATGTATTTCCTTTCTGTTCCTAATTTTATGATAGTCATGTACATTTATATCATATTACATGTTTAAATACCTTTTTCGTGATAAGAGACATTGCTAAAAAAGGCGTTTTGTTAAAAGAAACCGATATCTTGTTGTCAACTTTAAGTCTTCTATGGTTATAGTTCGGACAGATTCGCCGACTTAACACGGTGTCTTAAATAAGGTTAAAACTTTATGGTAACGCATGGAAATATTCTACCCATTGCAACAAATTATTTCTCTCATGTGTCTACAACATACAATGAAACAGTTAGATCGTCCTCAAAAATGGGTCTGACATTCTACTCCGTTCAGTATGTATATCACCAGGTTACGTGGGAGGGGGTGGAAATCGATCAAATTGGATTTGACACGAATTACATCCACAAAGGCTTTTGGAATATTTGTTGTAGAATTGTTTGAATGCTTGAATGAACCACAAACAAAAGAGCCGTACCATTTATCAAAACATTGAATGAAGGTATGAAACTGTAGTTGGACAGATTTATGAAATATCGAGTGATAGTCGTACGGAATGGTTTTCCAGCCTCCGTAGTGAGATCTAGGTCACTTACATAGATTAACATAGTGACCTATATATTCTGGTTCTGCACGAATTCGCACAACTGACGTCTTTAACAAATCTTGTCTACACATGAAAGTGAAGTATGTAACTCAACCCGTATGAATGCTGATATTATCAGCAAAAAAACTTATACACTTTTTAATAATGAAAGAATATCCTAATTTTTTTACTGTATCATACTACTTGTGTACATTAGCCTCAGATAGGAAAAACATCAAAGGGAGATTCCCATGAAATTGCCACAGCGGAAAGATGTTATAGATACAGCTGATGCCTAGCAGAAAGGAGCCTTACTTATCCCCGTCATGGAGCGGACGGTCATGAACAGGCGAGGTTATCATACCCTTGGTCTATTTCAGGCCCTTCCTAAAAATCGTACGATTCGGTTATTATCATAAATTTGTTTTGAGGGGCTGTGTGGG